ATGGTCGCAGATACATGAAGTTTGTGGGAGGCTCGACTCCAAAAGTGAAGTAAGGATGAAAACGAAGAAAAGACCAGCCATGAACTAGCCAATCGGCTCGTGAGTAGAAGTGCGGTGCGTCTAGTCGAATAACCATAGTTACCCTGTTCATCCTCCATGGTAACGCATTCATAATTCTCCAATTTTTCTAGTGGAGGAGAAGATTGCCAGACCCATAAAGACGTTATGCGTAACTTCCTTCATTTGAATGTGATTCACGCCAGATCGCAAAGGCAGCTGGGAAATCTTCACGCTTTCTGATAAACTCAACGAGTCCAGCTTGTTCGCTAGTCCTCAAAGCCACATAGTATGCTCACACACATTGAGGGTGTATGAGACTATCAGCCCCCCAGCTGTCAATGTGTCGTGGTCCCCCGCCCAAACATGCTCAGGAATGGAGATACAGGACCGTGAAAGACGTTAATTCCTCCATGCTCCGCTTAACACCTTTTGCGGCGCAGATTCGCGTCCTTCATAACATCCGTTGCAAGCGCGCGTGTCGGCGTGCGGCTCCTTGGCACTTTGCCAAGTCCTTTAATTGCGCTTTCAAATACAAGTAAAACGCAATTTCCTGATGCGGATATATTGGAGGTGCTGCAAAATAAGAGCAGAAGATGATGACGAGGGTCAGAAACTTAAAAACACATGGTACTTCAAACCATTGAGGCTGTATGAGACTATCAGCCCTCCAGCTGTCGATGTGTCGTGGTTCCCCGCCCACCATGCCCGATTATCAGCCCCCCCCCCCAGCTGTCGATGTGTCGGGTCCCCCAGCCCAAACATGCCTAGGAATGGAGATAGAGGACCGTGAAATACGCTAGTTCCTCATGCTCCGCCTTACACCTTTTGCGGCGCGCAGATTCCCGTCCTTCATAACATCCGTTGCAAGCGCGCGTGTCGCGTGCTGCTCCTTGGCACTTTGCCAAGTCCTTTAATTGCGCTTTCAATACAAGAAAAAACGCAATTAATGCGGATAATATTGGAGGTGCTGCAAAATAAGAACAGAAGATGATGACGAGGGTCAGAACTTAAAAGCAACTGTGCCACTTCTGCAACATCCTCGGAGGCGCGTATTTCCACGAAACATGAAAATAAAAACGGCATACTCGTTAGTTTGATAACAAGCAAAAAGCAATTTGATGCGAATAAAAATTTAGGCATTGCTCATACTTCAAGATCCATGTATAAGAGATGAAGATGACACAGGCTAGAAATGAAGCACAACGATGTAAATGTAAATAAAACGAAAATGAAAAAAATCAAGGAAAGGCAAATTAGTTGAAATCGCCTGTAAATTTCTACGATCCGGCGCGAATACGGCGTCAAAGCCATAGAAATACTTAGAATAAACGTGTGGGACCCTTGGATTGTTTTTATTCTCATGTTTTCTGGGAATGCGCGGCCTCTGATGGATTCTGCGAATGCAGCCGAGTTGCCTCTTGAGCTCTGGCCCTCGTCATCATCTTTTGTTCTTATTTTTGTAGCACCTCCAATGTTATCCGCATCAAGAAATTGCGTTTTACTCGTATTTGAGAGCGCAATTAAAGGACTCGGCAAAGTGCCAAGGAGCCGCGCGCGCGATACGCGAGCTTGCAACGGATTGTTATGAAGGGACGGGAATTGCGCCGCCAAAAACTACAAGGCGGAGCATGGAGGAATTAACGTCTTTCACGGTCCTGTATCTCCATTCCTGTGCATGTTGGTGCGGGGGACCACGACACATCGACAGCTGGGGGGCTGATAGTCTCATACACCCTCAATGTGTTTGAACGTACCATGTGTCTTTAAGCATGAGCAGCACGGTTTTTTTTCTCACGAAAATTCTTCATTTCATCGTCACTCACAGAGGTCGCAGTGATGCCTCTGAGTAGATCTTTTGAGCGCTAATGAGAGCTCAAAAGATCTACTCAGAGGAGCGGAATGCGTGGATCTTGTCGATAACGTTGTGGTGAGACTCCACAAACATTTCAACAAGTGGCGTTTGTTCGGGATCCAGAACCACAACATAGTATGCTAAAATGGTTTTTGATACAGCGTGTATAAGCTTGTTCTCCACTGGAAGTTCGCAGGCTCGGATATTTGCTTGTGTATGATTCTCCCTGATTCAACACCAGTCAGTATGCGGGTTTCTCTGAACGGATGGTCAACGCTCCTTGACCGGTAACACCATACCTGCTATTTTCAACACTATTGTCGTGTATGGAACGGTAGTAAGGAGCATTAATTAAGTCTACAGAAGACAGAATAGTTTGGTACTAACAAATATAAGGAAAAGGTAATCGCGGTGAGGCCACGCCCATCCCGCCAACTCGAGCAGAACCACAAACTGCAGAGGGCCCGGATGCAAGGAAGACCACAAAATATTGAAACTGTTGATTAGCAACATCAATAGTTAGCATAAACTCGTACATTCTTACGAGTCGAGTATGTAGATGACTTAATAATACATTCCGAACAGATTGGTGCGTACCGACCTCTCCAAACCTCAAACAAACGTTTGCTTGCATAAATAAAATCACAAAAATTAGAAGTTACACCCTTTCACCACCTCTGCGAAGCGTAATGCACGACGCACACTCTGATCAAATCGATCGATGATAAGCAAGCTCTACCTCCACTCATTCCAACGAGAGGATGTGTTCCGAAGGCATTTTGAAGTGTGCGAATGAATATCCTTACAACGGCACAGTGTTTTTGAGTGGCTCAAAAAGTCGCCCAAGGATGACCCATCTAAAATATCTTCTAAAAAAGCGGGTTTTCAGGAACACTGAGAACATATTCGAAAGAGGAAGTATAGCGGTTCTGATTTAGTTTTGTAATTTTGTTTTTGATTTTGTGAAAGATTGCATGTGAAAGAAGTTGTCATCGTCTGAAGCCTGAAACACCACTCCTGATTCACCGCTAACGCGTCCATAACCCATTCGAAATATTTCACGAACGAGGAATATCCAGATTGCGAGTAAGTAGAACACGCAACAGCAGAGACATTGCTTCAACATGCCGCCTTCAGTTTCTCAAAAGTTCACACCTAAAAAAGCTACCACCTCCAGAAAAAGCCCCGCGATCTCGGCCTGGCCAACAGTCTCCCTACACATACCATTTTCACTTTAAGTACTACCTTTCGAACCAAATTCATCACCACTTTCCAAATCAAATTCAGCTGCTATAGGTGGGCAGTGCTTGCTACGAAAATTTCGAAAACTCGTAATTCGGTCCCAGAACTGCCCGAAGAGTGGAAAATGTATGAAACAGTAGAGAATGAATAGGTGAATAGGTGGACGGATGGAGGAGTCACAGCTGCTGTGGACGTGGCTTGAATCAGAATTTCGTATGAGCATTAGCATACGTAGCATTAGCGTACGTAGCTGTAGCGGGCGAAGCTTCAGTCAAGGTACTAAATACCTCCTCTACAAATTGGCGAACTATCACTTCTCCTAAATGCACCCACAACCTAACAGATTGTCAGCTTTGTTCTGATAATCGTTGTGCGTACCTATACTGGACAACCGGAAGCAGCCAAACAGCACAAAAACACTGCTCCACGGCTACAACTTCCAAACACACAATGCCTTCTGAAGAATCTTCACGATAGGTAACATATGAAACGTATGAAGAGAGCTGCCTACTAGGAGGGTATATACGGTGAATAAAACGATAAAATATGGGAATTTTACAAAAATTTCTCGGCCAATATGGCCGATCCGACCAGCCCTCTATTTTTTGGAAATGTGTGGGGGGAGAGTCACTCCGGCGAAGCTGGCCGATCCGACTGATATGCATACATGGTGGGCGACACTGCGGAGTGCTAGCATAAAGGCAACGAGTCTTGCTATTTGACCGCTACACAATCTTATGCACCTTCCTATCGGGCTCCAAAGAGGACGCTACTTTGAAAAGGGATGGATTAGAGTTATGGGACAGGAAGTGCTGTTGGGCTCCGATGTGGAATCACTTAGATACCGGTTCAAATGATATGTTGCTTCGGTTGCATCGGCGCCCTCGTCTTGGTGCCGCAACTGGGATATCCGTTCCTTATCTCTCTAACAGCCAAGAAGATAAGAGCGAAAGAAGCTGTGTGAGGACATGGGCTCATTAATGACTGAGACCTGAAGCGATCCACTTCCATACATATGCTCCGAACAACCTATTTTTTTTGCTTTGAATGCTCACGTTCATTTGATGCTCCTGCTCCCTCTCTGGATAGCCCTCCCTATGAGGATGCAGTATGTACTTGTTTTGCATCTCAAAAAGGGGGAAGGATGGCACCGTTCGCTAGCAGTCGGCCGCCTCGCCCACCTGACCAGCACAGGGTTCCATACAGAGAATTTTCCGTGATTTTCTGTTTTTTTTCTTCACTGCTGGGTCACGTATTATACAAGCTCCATAACTCATTATTTTTGAAAGCGGGCTCAGTCTTTGGAGGCTCAGCCAAAGCAGTTATGGCAGGCAGGTGGGCGGTTCGGCATCCTCTTCACAAGCGGGTGGCCCCATCTCTCGTACTTTTGCGAAATTAATACATCCTTCACCCTTATCGACAAAGCGACGATATCTAAGGAGGGCGTAGGAACATCAAATGAAAGCGGGCGCTGCCTTTGAATCTCACATCGCTTACTGCGGGCAAGAATGGAATTGCTTCTTGGGTGGCATTGATGGAGCGTTGTTCGCTGAGAAGTGCTGTAATGACCATTTATGTCAAATAAAACTTATATATGAAACGTTTTGTTTCTATCACACGTAGGAACAGTCTAGCTGATGTGTACGGACTGAGCTGTTATCATGAAAAACATTGGAATATGACTCTTAAAAATACGAATACAGAAAAAAGTCTCCAAATTACCGGTCAAAAGCGAACTTCTTAATACGTTTCGAGAAAGCATCGTGAATGGCTAGGTGTGAAAGAGACACTGAATCTATCTAGTCGCATTCAATATTTTGTCTAATTCTTGCTCATTTCTTGCTAACTAGTGCCATCCCCAGCTGTTGCCCATGTACGAAGAGGTTGGAGGCGCTTGAGAAAGGTAGCCTCCAGTGGTTGGCAGATAGCCAGTTGAGCAAGGAAGATAACTGAAAATATTATATCGACACATACTTCGAAGCGCTCCTTCTCCGCATGAAAAGAAACAGACCTCGCTCCACTGCCACCAAATGCAACAGCAGCCGCTGCAGCTTGGTATGAGCCGGAGGAGATCTCCGGCGGGCACGGTTTGCCATCTCTCACCAACATTTGAATTGGCATTCGAAAGCTAAAATAGAGCGATATGTAAAGCAAATAAGAGAGGGCTCATGAAGCGAAAGGCTCTGGGGGATTTCATGTCCTGCTCATTTTGAGCAGCTACGAACAAGACACTGAGCAGCTGCGCGTTTATACCCGTCTGTTTCAAACACAACAAGAAATAGGTATATGTACAAAAACCTTAGTTACGGGTACGGTTGATTTCGTCGTAATGTAGCGATGCGCTGTCGAGCGATGTGGAATGAGCGCACCTACGGCCGTGTTTCCTACCAATAGGTACCGTCAGATAGACAACACCACTTGGTAAAAGAGGCTGCGGGTCGGCTCACTTCACGTCTCCTGGTGCCGCCCGCCAGGTTGTGACGATATAAACTGTATTTGGCTTGAAAGTGTGAGAGTCCCTTCCTGTGAACACAGATTGAAGGAGTTGTGGATTTCGTTTTGTAGCCTAGGATATGGTGATGTTGGCTCTTTAAAAGATTAACAGTAGAAAAACCATCGCACACTATTTCCCATGTTGCCGGCCTCCTAATCCGAAGAATGAGTAACAAAAAGCTTCAAATTCAAAATCGTATGTAATGGGTGTGAGCATTGGTTTCATTAGTTACATTCTAATCCAAGCTAGTTATACCTTCGAGTAGCAAAAGCAGTGCTCGCCGGTGTGAAGGACGGTGACGAGTTGAGCAAGCCGGGGTTCAATCCTTTTTCTTGAATCGTCTTTTTCGTCTTATATCTGTAACTAACAAATAATGATTAGTTTAGTGATGATCGTTGGATACTCTTCTCTGCTTCAACACTTTCTTCGTGCTCTTGAAAAAGCTCTACACAATCCATGCCTTATACGTTTGCATTCACCTAACGGTACTCCAAGAGTGGGTAAGGTGATTTGAACTTCTCCTGCCTCTCCTGTCTCTCCTTCTCTATCCAGTGGGGCTACTTATTGCCCAAGAGCAAGTGCCTTCTTCTTTTGTTTTGAATTTAATTTGATTTTTCGTTTCCCATTCATAAAGCATGTGCATGGTAGTCCCCGAAACTAACCGGTGATTTTGGAACCATATTTTCACTTGTGTAGGAGTGAGTCGGATTTGCATGGCAAGTTGCTCCCGTTCAGGTGCGCTCAGGTATCTGGAAATTGTTCACAATTAGTTTTGGACGTCTACTTTATGAAGAATTTGTTGAGCTCCAGCTGAGGAATGAATGACAAAAAATGTAGAGAGCTGAAATGGTTTAAATGGTTTCCACACTATTGCTCGATGTCTTTTTCTTGCTCTAAAAAACAGAGAGAGAGAGAAGAAGAGAGAGAAGAGAAAGAGAGAGAAGAGATGAAGAGTGAGGACTTGCTTAGTTTGTCTTCTGGACAAATACCGCTATTTATCTTGAATTACTTAGAATTATTAATAATTACAATTATTTTGTTATCACATTTATTTATTTATTTTTATGTTATTTATTTACTTAATATTGCACTCAAAGTACTCCTTTACGAGTGGAAACCTCAACCAGAATACACGTTCGAAAAAACGTAAAATTTACTCTCCAATATAACTTTAAATCACGTGCTCAAATTATTCTGAAGTTCATAAGAAGGGGAAGGTGTCGCCGCAATCAAGTTAACCAGTTATACAGATGAGAATCACCCCATATATATAAAACCCATATATATAATTCGCTTTGTCTGTTTGTTTGTTGTTGTTTGTTTGTTTGTAAGTTTGTTTGTTTGTTTGTTTGTAAGTTTGTCTGTCCGAAAATTCGGTTCGACCTGAAGAACGACTTGGAGAGGTCCGGTCAAGGTGGGGATGGGTAGGGCGTGGGACAAGAAATAAAAAGCACACTTGACCTAAGGGAAGCTCCGCCCACAGTGGGCGGGGCACTCCTCGAAAGTTTGGGGTTCCGCAAAAAAATGTTCATAATTCGCTTCCGGGGCAGCCTAAAGATGAGGAAAAAAAGGGAATAAGGTTAGTAAGGAGTCGCCAGACTGACTGTGGCAGGTACACCCTAAATGGGCGGGGCGTACTCAAGGTGGGGCGGTGTTCTCGCAAAATTCAGTAACCCGGTTCGCGAGAGTGTTTGGAAGTCGCAAAAAGCTCAGTTTAGAATGTAATTATCTGGCGAATATAGGGCACGCTCAAAGCATGTTGAGACCCGCCCACAGTGGGCGGGGCTTGCCCTAAATCGCAGGGTATTCACTTTAAATGTTTGTAGCTCGGTTTCAGAACACTCCAAATACCGAAAAAAAAGTGGATTAAGTTCAGCAGAGGGTCGTCGGTCAAGATTGTAGGGCAAAAAATCGTGGGCGGAGCCTGTTCCGAGGTGGGCGGAGCCAGACAAAAAAGGTCTGTAAAACGGTTCCAGAATATTCCAGACACCGGAAAAAAGTGGATTAAGGTCAGCAGAGGGTCGCGGGTGAGGATTGCGGGGAAGAAACACTGTGGGTGGAGCCTGCTCCGAGGTGGGCGGAGTCAGACAAAAGATCTGTAAAAGGGTCCCAGAGCACTTCAAAGACCGGAAAAAGTGGACCAAGGTCAGCAGAGGGTCGCGGGTGAGGATTGTGGGGCAAAAACATTGTGGGCGGAGCCTGCTTCGAGGTGGCGGAGTCAGACAAAAGATCTGTAAAACGGTCCCATAGCACTTCAAAGACCGGAAAAAAGTGGATCAAGGTCAGGAGAGGGTCGTCGGTGAGGATTGTGGGGCACAAACATTGTAGGCGGGGCCTGCTCCGAGGTGGACGGAGTCAGAAGAAGAATCTGTAAAATAGCTCAAGATTACTTCAGACACCGGAAAAAAAATGGAGTACAGAACAAAAGGGGATATCAGTTGAATCTAGAAATATGTGAAAGAAAACACGCGCGGCGAAGCCGCGCCCGCCCGGCGCAGCCGGGCCGTATCAGAAGGAGCCACGCCGGCGTCAGCCGGCGAGGCGACTGGTTTTTTAATATTGAATTATCAGCGTGGTTTGACCGCCATTAAAAATGAAGGTACAATGCTATGCTTGTACATTCATCATCTTCTCGACTGCATGAACGTTGCATGTGAACACCTCCCTTTTTTTAAATTCTCTCTCGTTTTATCCTATTTCTCAACACCTTCCCCTATGTAGTCTATGTCCTCAGGTCGTCAACCTGTCGCACTGATGAGCTCGGGAGTTGGCTAGACAATGATAATTCATCTGCGACACCGAGCGAAACGGATCATCTGTGTTCCGGAGTGTATTCCTTTCCCAATGTTTGGCTTTCTTTGCTTCTAATTGGACTGTGCTGGTGTTCACTGAACTTCGAGGGTGACTCGAGTTCAGTGAAATACCAGTTCCGTCTTACGGGTTACATCTCGTTTCTCGCATAACACACTCCTTGGCTCACCTTTTCCTTAGAGGCAATTGCCTTTGGCACCGGTGATGCTTTATTCGGGCCGGTGGTCCAACCGCGGCCGGTGGTCGCTCACGACTTCTGCTATTTCCATCTCAACTTACACTCTCATTTCCATCTATATCTTTCATTTCTACTTTAGTGGTCTTTGATGCGAACTGAGGCGACTGCCTCTTGCACCGATGGTGTTCAATGGAACCAGTGGTCCTCTTGCGTCAACTGACGTCTCCACACATCTATCTGCTTTTAGACAGATCCTTTATTGCTTCCACATTCTCTCTAGTTCACTGCGTTTTTGGCCGATTGATAGAAAAATGAACCCTACAACTCTTCCATAGATCACGGATTATGCACATATGTGTACGCAGGTGTTACTCAGCCTAGGCTATAGATGATTTCCGTTGCATTTGCTACCCTTGTTTATTACTAGTTGGCCCTGCGCGTTTTTTCCTTTCTTTTTCTTTTCTTTTGTTTTTCATTTTTTGTTTTTTTAACATGCCCATACTTCTTACACACTATCATTAACACAAAGAGGGACCATGCCTCTTAAAAAAAGGGACATACCTCTTTAAAAAAATAGGGACCAGCGCTGATGGGGTTATGCAAGTCAAAAACGGCAAGAAGAGTCATTTTTGGTGCCTCCAGCGTTGGTAGTTCTTGTAGGGAGAGCCAACCCCCTGGGCAGCACCCTGCCGGACCTTCGGTAAGACTCACCTCTGCGTATGGGTTTGACCGCTCAGGCGCTTATACCTTAGGTCAAAAAATGCGAAAATCAGCGCTATAAATTATCACTCCTCCACCCGGTTCCATAAGGTAAGGGGTGGGCCAATCACTTCAAACTCAACGACTTTGGTAAAGACAATAAAGGTTGCAAATGTAAAAGAAAGTGCAGAACATGTGATATAACGAATACAGATAATTACATTGTATCGAACGCTACAAACCTATACGTTAACACATATAAAGAAGCAGATGCAGATTGTAACACTAAAAATGTAGTTAACTGTTTAACATGCAAAGGCTGTGGGATACACTATGTTGGAATGACTGTAAGAAAATCAAAAGAAAGAATCGGAAAACATCTTTCTAATATTTTTTTTCTCACAAAGTACACACACCGTTATATAATCACTTCTACAAATGTGATAGAGGTATAACGGTGCATGTACTAGACTGTATGAAGTCTAATGATAAAACTTCATTAATAGAAAAGGAATTTTTTTGGATTAAACTCCTGATGACAGCATACCCTTTGGGTTGAATGATAACATAAAGAGATATGGAAACATCACAAGTATAGATAATCCTCTTATGTTCAAGGGCACTCATCCTTTCTTCCCTCTCAAAATTACAAAACAAAGGATAAATAGAAAAAAAAGAAACTGTAAAAAGTATAAAGTAAGCACATACGATAATATTATAGCAGAGATAACAAGTGATGGTGGAACACTCAAGCCTATTCAGTACTACAGAATGCTCGAAAGTCTGCGTAAAGAAGAAATTAAGAAAATAATTGAGCTCTCCATCTCTGCAGACTTCTTGCAGAGAGTCAATAATAAGACCAGGCTTTGATACTTTGCCTGCTAGCTCACTTTCATTTTGACACTACCACAAAAGAAATCACCAGAAAGAACTATCATAATGTAGAGGTCAGTTTCAAAAGCAGAGTGTTCAATGAAATACCCTTCAACAGAATCTTCAATTCACGTACTGTTAGAGATATACTACTCAGCGATAATGGAAGGATTAGTGATTTCACCCCAATTAGAATTATTCATAAGTCAACAACACAATGGCTAGCAAAATTTGTAGTTACAACAAAGTGTTGAAAGATCTCGACAACGAAAAATTGAAGCAAATTCTCAACGACGATTGTATATGTACTACAATACAGTACAAGAATATGTGGATAAAAATCATGAACATGTCATCACAGGAAATGTAAATCTTATAAGAGAAGATAGTTTCAGAAGATTGCTGAATAAAGGTAAGTTTCAGAAGATTGCTGAATAAAGGTACCAAAAATAGATCAGACACTGGCATAACAAGACAAGAAGTTAAAATGATGCTTGAAGATACACTCATCAAAGTCATAAATTACTTTAGATTTAAATAAAGCTAGCAGTCACAAGGTTGATCTATTACAGAAACATTTTCGTTCATGTTACCACGACAAAGTAAAACCTCTACTGACAAAGGCTAATATTGAAAATATAGGAGAACACATACCTTGCAACTTAATCAAACAATATCAGGACAAATACGTGTTCTGTCCTCTCGACAAAGCAAATAATAACTACGGCATCGTCTGTACCTTTTGAACATAATGCATGAAATGGGCATTTTTTATGACGCTACCTACCAACCACACTTTTGCTACTACCAACCACACATTTGTCTATGGAAACAGTAATAACACATATGAAGTAATGCCTGATACTATTACTAAGTATTCTTCAATATTGAAGTACCAATTCCTTCGTGTGAGGAATAATATCAATATTCCATTGATGCAGAAATACCTACTATATATGCCTTACCAAAGCTACTGAGAACCCACTCAAATTCAGGTACATCACAGGTGCACATAGCAGTAGTATTAAACCTTTGGCCCAGGAATTATGCATAGTCTTCACACGTTTCAGAAATCACTTCATAAACTACGCTAAAGTACTACAGAATAGCTACAGGACAATCAAGACATACTGGTCTTCTCAAGTTCATAAAAT